TCCGGTGCCGCCAAGTGTCGCGGCACGGAGAGGGGGAATGGGAGGAGGAGGCGGAAGCAGTGGCGGCGGCTGCTGCTGCTGCATTGCGAAGCGAAGCGAATGATTGCACCTGGATTGACACGAGGCAGAGTGTGGGAGAGAGGAGGTGTATGAGGTGATGTGTCAAGGAGGCACCAGAGGGGACAAAGATGAGGCATTATTTGCTCCAGGCGTTACCTGCTCCAGTCATTACCTGCTGGAGGTGTTACCTGCCCAGGAGTTACCTGCTCCAGGCGTTACCTACTCCAGCTGCTACCTTCACCAGGTGTTACCTACCTGCTCCAGGCGGCGGGCTGCATCGAGGCGATCCTCGTTGTATGAGCTGGGAAACTGATGAGGGGCGAGGGAGAGGGTGGAAAAGAGAGGGAAAGAGTTTGAATATTGAGAATTCTCAAAAGTCAGACCAACTGAGGCGATCCTTGTTGTATGAGCTGGGAAACTGATGAGGGGCGAGGGAGAGGGCGGAAAAGAGAGGAAAGAGAGAGACGGATGGTTTAGGGCCCCAGTATGGGCAATACTACAGAAGAAGCTGCGGAAATATCTTCTCAACTTGACGAGAAATGCTACAACCAGAGCAGACGGGACAAGGGATGGGGTGTCAGGAGTCAGGAGACTCGCAGAAGGGGAAAGCGGATGGGGATTCAGCCCGCCTGGTGAAATGGAGGAAAGAGGTGGGGTACTATGGGATGCGGGGCAGGGGGACAGCAGGCAGGGTTATGGCAGAGGAAGCAGGGTGAGCAGCAGGCAGGGGGAGTTCTCACTACATGGGCGGGGTGAGAAGAGGCAGGGTCTCACCCAGGGTGGGAGTTACAGCTTAGAGTCAGCGCGAGGATGAGGAAACGGGGCAACGAAACAGGAAGGGGTGATGAGTGGATAGGGCCGAGGGCTTACAAGGTGCGGGGCGTATCTCTGAATGGCTGCTAGGACTGCTGCGTGCCCCACAGGCGTCATCTGGGGAAGGTGGGAAGCGGTGGAGGTGGAAAGAAGGGGGTGGAGGTGGATGGGAGAGAGCAGGCGGTGGGCTGGAATGGCAATTGATTGCTGGATGGCTGCTCGCACTGCTAGCGATAAAGATGATGGGTTTAGAAAATAGAACTTTCGTGTATGAAGAATCGGAAATGATAAAGGAAAAAGGGAGGCACAAGCAATATTCGTAATGCAGATGATGAGCTGAAGGGCAGCAATAAATTAGGGCTGAAGGCACGTCTCAGAACTAGGGAGGGAGGCACGCATGCTAGCACACATATGTTGGCACAGCGCACCCACCGGGATGAGCATGAGGACGCCGATGGGGATCACCGATGCCACGTCAGTCAGCGTGCGCTTCAAAACTTTGGCCTCCCGGTCAGTCAGGGGCTGCCCGAGTGCTGCCCGCTGCAGCATCTTCATTGCCACTGCCACGTCTGTGCTCAGCAGCTGCGTGCCTCTCCATGCGTCCTGATGAGGAGGAAGGTGGGGACGGGAGGAAGCAGTGAGTGCTGCTGCGTGCCTCGCCACATCTCGCCTACCCCCTCTCTCCCATCCCCATCCCACAATCATTCCATCCACCCCCTTGTCTTTAATCTGCTCGAGCAGCTGGTGAATAACGCTCTACTCCTGCTTTCCCCCTCCTAACCGTTCTCAACGGCTCTCCCACCCCATCCAACCCATTCTTACCGCACCGCCTTCTCGAATGTGCTCCAGAGACTGGTCAATCACGCTCTTCTCCTGCCTCTCCCCCTCCCCCGCCCGGCTCGTCACATCACTCCCCTCCCACTCGTCCAGGCCCCCACTGCTGCTGCCGTCCGGCCCTCCCCTCCCCCCTCCCACACTCCATGTGTCACCAGGAGCGGCAGCAGCAGTAGAACCACCAGCAGCACCAGCGGGAGCAACACCAGCAGCAGCAGCAGCAGCAGCAGCAGCAGAACCATCCCCAGCAGCAGCAGCGGAGGAGGAGGCGGAGGAGGGGAGGGTCCAGGAGGAGGAGTGAAAGAGGCGGTGGAAGATGGACGGTGCCTTGGGAGGGGACGTTTGCGTGGGCGCCTCACGCTCCATGGAGGGAGATGCTGCTGCTGACGTGCCAGCAGCAGCAGCAGCACCCGCAGCACCAGGAGCAGCAGGACCACTGCCACCCACATTTCCTTCCCTTCCCACCTTGCCATCCCGACCAGCACCAGCACCAGTTCCCCCCTCCCTACCAGCACCAGCACCAGCACCGGCACCGACGTCAGCACCTCGCTGCAGCAGCCGTGCCTCGAGCTCCCTCAGCTGCACCTTCAGCTGCTGCAGCCTACTCGCCTCTGCTCCCAGCCCTCCCATGCTCGCTGCCGCATGCCTCCCATCCCCAGCCCCAGCCCCATACCCATACCCCGCCCCTGCATCTGCGTCTGCCGCACCTGTCCATGCACTCCCGTCAAAGAACTCCTCTCTGAACGCCCACGAGCTGTTGGCACTCTCTGCTTCACTCCTCCTCTCCTCCTCTCCCCGGCCTCCCGGTCCTCCCTTTGCTCCATCCCCCCCATCCCTATCCCCCGCCCTTGCAACTGTGCCTGCACATGTGGCTGTCTTTGCATCTGCGCCTGCGCCTGAATCAAATCAGTCCTCCCAGTCCCCGCAGTTCCATCTCTTTTGCCTGGCTCGCTGCTACCGGCAGCAGCACTAGCACCACCACCGCCACCAGCAGCAGCCGTTGCTGGCGCTGATGTGGGCGTGCATGACTGGAAGGGAGAGAAGTCATCATCATTATACTCCTCCATTCGCCTCCCCTGCGCATCTCCTCCCCATCCTCTTGCTCCTCCTGTTGCTCCAGCAGCCAGGATTGCTGCTCCTCCCCATACTCCCACACCTCCCCTGGCTTCCTTTCCATCACCTGCCCTGTCAGCACCACCACCTCCCACTGACACACTCATATCCCTCTCCATCTCTTCCATCTCCCCCCTTCTCCCCGCTACTCCTCTCGGCTCTGTGCTCCCTCCCCTACTTCTGCTACCGTCCCCCCTCTCCTCCTCCCCATCCACCTCCTCTCCCTCAATTCTGGAAAGAAGCGACGAATCTTCCCGGGCAGCCTGCCCGGGCAGCTGGAAGAAAAAAACTGCGGCCGGTGCGGGCGGCAGGGGCGGCAGGGGCAGTATCAGTGGCGACGGGAGCGGCAGTGCTAGTGGAAAGGAAGGCGGAGGTGAGGTAGGAAGGGAAGGGTGAGTCAGCGAGCGCTGACGTGTCGTGTGACGATTGGCTCTTGTGGAGGGAGGAGTAGTGGGGATCAGGAGGGTCATCATAAGCACCAACTATAGAGGCGATAGTGGCTGTGGTGTCCGTGGTGGTGCTGCTGTGCTGCTGCTGCTGCTGCTGCTGCTGCTGCTGCTGCTGCTGCTGCTGCTGCTGCTGCTGCTGCTGCTGCTGCTGCTGCTGCTGCTGCTCCATCCGCTCCTCCATCTCACGTGCTGCTGCCTGCCTCCTCTGCCGGCTCACCTTCTCCCCCACCTCCTCCTGACCAGAATAGTGACGAGTCAGAAAGATACATGCGAGAGAGGCAAGTTACAAAGAGACTCCTCGGAAGGAAATTCGCAAGGAGAGATTGGTTGGAAAGCGAGTGGTTACAAAGGAAATATACACGGTAGAGAGGGGTGATGAGCATGAAAGGGGAAACAGCTGTCAACTTCTCTCCTCACATGCTGCCGCCATCACCCCCTCCCTTCTCTCTCACCTGCCATAATCACTCCCTCTCCTCACACCTGCTCTTTTGTGCCCTGTTCCGTTGAGCCCTGCTCTGAATTTCAACCCCTCTTCTCTCACCTGCTGCCGTCGCACCCTCTCTTCCTGAACAGCTGCTTTCATCTTCAGCCGTCTCTCCAGAGCGCGAATTTCCTCCCTCACCCGCACCAGCCTCTCCCATTCCACTCGCACCAACGCCAGTCGCTCACTCGTCCCCGCCCCTGCTGCCTTCCCTTTGCCTCCACCTGCCCCTGCTGCTACCAAGTGTGCTGCGTGTTTCTCTGCTGCTGTAGGCCCAGATGTATCTCCTCCTCCCGACCTTGCCCCAATCCCTTCATCTCCACCCCCTCTTCCTCCCTCTCCTGCTTCTCCCTCTCCCTTTGACCTCTCTCCCTCGACCATCTCCCCTGCTCCTTCCCCTGCCCCTTCTCTTGCTGCTGCTGTGTCCGCTCCACCCCTCGCAAGCACAACTGCCTTCCCAGCAGCCGAACGTGAGTGTGAGTGCGAGTGTGTGTGCGCATGAGAGTGTGAGTGTGCACGCGAGTGTGGGTGGGAGTGAGCGTGTGAGTGAGAGGGAGCATCTCCCCTAAGCCCAGCACTCTCTGCTTCCACCACCCTCATCAGCCTCTCCACTATCTCGTCTACAGACAGAAAGTCCTGACAGGAAAGAAAAGGGAGAGGAGCAATAGAGGGAGAGGAACAAGCGATGAGAGAGCGCGACTGAACCACCACTCTCATCAGCCTCTCCACTATCTCGCCCACAGAGAGAAAATCCTGACAGGAAAGCAGGGAAGCAAAGGGAGAGGAGCAAATTCGGGAAAGACGACCCGTCCACTCTCATCAATCTCTCCACTCTCTCGCCCACAGAGAGGAAGCCTTGCCAAGCAGAAAGGAGCATGAAAGCAGGGGGCAAGAGAGCAGGGGGAAAGAGAGAGAGGGATAAGCAGAGAGTGACCCACGACTGTCATCAGCCTCGCCACTATCTCGTCCACAGATAAGAAATCGTAACAAAAAGCAGAGAGGTGGAGCAAAGTGAGGGAAAGAAGCAAAGGTAGGGGAGCAAGAGGGGGAGAAAGCGCGACCGACCCACCACTCCCATTAGTCGCTCTACTCTAGTCCACTGGGGAGAGATCCTGATGGGGAAAAAACATCATTCATCAGTATCCTCCTCGCCTGATTCAGCACCTTCAATCCCCTCTCCAAGACCTTGAGCCCCCTCAGTTCCTTCTCCAGCCAAGAGCGCTCCTCCCACATAGACAATCAACAATCACCAATCTCCTCACCTTGCTGGTTCCATGCCTTGATCCCCTCACCTGATTCAATGCCTTCAGTTCAGTCCCTCTCCATGACCTTCACTTCAGCCCTCTCAGTTCCGGCTCTAGCCGCGAGCACGCGATATCAATAATCACCACTCTCCTCACCTGGTTCAGCGCCTTCAGTTCCCTCTCCATGACCTTGAGCCCCCTCAGTTCCTTCTCCAGCCGCCTCCGCGCCTCCTCCCTCTCCCTCGCCTCCCTCTCCACCTCCTCCATCTCGCCCATCTCCACCGCTCTCGACCCCTCTAACCGCCTCTCGGCCTCGTTGGAAGAATCAGAGTCAGAAGAGGGGACCAGCACGCCTGGTACTCTGTGGGGGTAGAGAGGGGAGGAGGAAAATAGCAGGAAGATGGAAAGGGGAAGGGAGAACGGATGAAGGGGAGGTGGATGGGAAGACAGGGGGGGAGCGGAAGGGAGCGAGTGGGGAATGGGAAGGGCATGAGTGAGAATACTCATTCACTCTCTTCTCATACCAATTACTCACTTGCAAACTCGCATGTCCTGTATTTTAAATAAAAGACATGCAGCGCTTCTCTTAACCACTCATTCACCTACTCTCTTCCCATTGAATAACTCAGTTGCTCAATCACTCACTTGCTCGTTCCCCTTCGTCACTCTCCCATCCCACTCACTCTGCAGCCACTTGGTGCTTGCTTGATGGCTCCAGGCACAGCCCCAGAAGAACCATGCTGGAGGGGTGGAGAGGGAAAGAGAGGGGTGGGAAGGGGTGCAGAGGATTGTTGAAGGGTGGAGGGGGACAAGAGGGATGACTTTGAGTTGAGGTACCTCACAAGCTGCTTGGTTGATGGATCCGTCCAGGCACGGCACCAGCAGCACATGCCGAAGGGTGGAGAGGGGTGTCGCCAGCAGCACCAGCAGCATCAGCAGCAACATTCACCCCTCAACACCGCACCCCTTTTCAACCTTCTGCAGTCCTCTTAATCCCAGTACACCCACTTCACCCCTCTACATCCCTTTCAACTTCTCTTCTCCCTTCTTTACCCCTAACCACACATACTCACCCCTGGGCCATGAAAGCAGCAGCTCGCGAGTCAGGCTGCTGCAGCAGCCAGCTCGAGTGCCGCTCCCAATCCCTCGCCCACATGCCGCACACCTCCTTACCCACCAGTCTGCGCCGCCTCCTCCGCTGCCGGTGCCGCTGCCGCTGCGCCGAGCGCGGCGAGAGGGAGGAGGGGTCGAGGTCAGGGTGGCGCTTGGAGGAGAGGGGCGGGAGGAGCGGCAACCAGGCGAGCTCTTCTCTCAGGACCTGAGGAAGGGGGGAGAAAGACCAAGTTAACGAAAGGATGGGGAGAGAGGGCGGAGGGGTCGAGATCAGGGTGGCGCTTGGAGGAAAGAGGGGGGAGGAGCGGCAGCCAGGCAAGCTCTTTCCTTAGAACCTGAGAGTGGGATATTGGAGGACAGAGAAGGGGAGGAATGGTAGGTAAGAACTTGAAAAGGATGGAGAGGGAGGAGGGGTCGAGATGAGGGTGGCGCTTGGAAGAGAGCGGGGGGAGGAAAGGCAACCAAGCAAGCTCTTCCCTTAGGACCTGAGGGGGTGGGGAGGGTGGGGAGAGGGAGGAGGGAAGACGAAGCTTAGGGCAGGAATGGGGAGAGAGGGAGGAAGGGTGAGGTCAGGGTGACGTTTGGGGGAAATAAGGGGGAGGAGGGGCAAGGAGGCGAGCTCTTGCCTTAAGACCTGATGACACTGGGAAAAGGGGAAGCGAATGAAAGCTTAGAAAAGGCAGGGGGAAGAGATTTAGGGTTAGGGGTGGGTGTCAGGGTGGCACTTGGGAGGAGGGAAAGGGGAGAAGAGGCAGGCAGGCGAACGAAAGCTTAGAAAAGGCAATGCCTTAAGAAGCGGGAACACGGAGGAGGGGGGTCGTCAGGGCGGCACTGGAATGAAGGAGCGAAGGGGGAAAACTAGAGATTATTTTCAAACGGGATTCAGATATGGCAGAGAAATGGAAGCTAAGGAAAGGCATGCGGGAAGAAGGGCTAGTGTTACCCTGACTGCTGGTTACCACAGTCGACTGCCTGTAACCTTCACTGCTGCCTGCTCACCTCCACGAGCCCCTGGTACATGGATATGTTGTCCAGCTGGGGGAAGGTGAATATGATTGCGCCCTCGAAGTGGCTGGGGGCGGTGGGGAGATGGGGGGATGGGAAGGAGGGGAAGGAGGGGGGAGATGGGTGGAGAGTTGAGGGAAAGCAAGGTGATTGTGCCCTTAGACGGGAACGGCGGGTGGGGAGGAGGTAGGGATGGGATTGGGCACAGAGAAAGTCATGGGAAGGTGAAGATGATTGATCAAAGACCAGGAAGGGGGATAGGAGGGGGGGAGAACGGAAGAGGGGAAGCGAGCGAGGGCCCTGCTTGCTACCAAACAGTGGGCTCGACTTGAAGAGACTGGGAGGGGCTCGACTTGAAGAGACTGGGAGGGGCGAGACTTGAAGAGACTGGGAGGGGCGAGACTTGAAGAGACTGGGAGGGGCGAGACTAGAAGAGAGTGGGAGGGGCTAGACTTGAAGAGAGTGGGAGGGGCTAGACTTGAAGAGACTGGGAGGGGCTAGACTTGACGAGAGTGGAAGGGGCTAGACTTGAAGAGAGTGGGAGGGGCTAGACTTGAAGAGACTGGGAGGGGCTAGACTTGACGAGACTGGGAGGGGCTAGACTTGAAGAGACTGGGAGGGGCTAGACTTGAAGAGACTGGGAGGGGCTAGACTTGAAGAGACTGGGAGGGGCTAGACTTGACGAGACTGGGAGGGCTAGACTTGAAGAGACTGGGAGGGGCTAGACTTGAAGAGACTGGGAGGGCTAGACTTGACGAGACTGGGAGGGGCTAGACTTGAAGAGACTGGGAGGGGCTAGACTTGAAGAGACTGGGAGGGGCTAGACTTGACGAGACTGGGAGGGGCTAGACTTGAAGAGAGTGGGAGGGGCTAGACTTGAAGAGACTGGGAGGGGCTAGACTTGAAGAGACTAGGAGGGGCTAGACTTGAAGAGACTGGGAGGGGCTAGACTTGACGAGACTGGGAGGGCTAGACTTGAAGAGACTGGGAGGGGCTAGGACTTGAAGAGACTGGGAGGGGCTAGACTTTACGAGACTGGGAGGGGCTAGACTTGAAGAGACTGGGAGGGGCTAGACTTGAAGAGAGTGGGAGGGGCTAGACTTGAAGAGACTGGGAGGGGCTAGACTTGACGAGACTGGGAGGGGCTAGACTTGAAGAGACTGGGAGGGGCTAGACTTGACGAGACTGGGAGGGGCTAGACTTGACGAGACTGGGAGGGGCTAGACTTGAAGAGACTGGGAGGGGCTAGACTTGACGAGACTGGAGGGGCTAGACTTGAAGAGACTGGGAGGGGCTAGACTTGACGAGACTGGAGGGGCTAGACTTGAAGTAGACTTGGAGGGGCTAGACTTGAAGAGACTGGGAGGGGCTAGACTTGAAGAGACTGGGAGGGGCTAGACTTGACGAGACTGGGAGGGGCTAGACTTGAAGAGACTGGAGGGGCTAGACTTGAAGAGACTGGGAGGGGTAGACTTGGACGAGACTGGGAGGGGCTAGACTTGAAGAGACTGGGAGGGGCTAGACTGAAGAGAGTGGGAGGGGCTAGACTTGAACGAGAGTGGGAGGGGCTAGACTTGAAGAGACTGGGAGGGGCTAGACTTGAAGAGGACTGGGAGGGGCTAGACTTGAAGAGACTGGGAGGGGCTAGACTTGAAGAGACTGGGAGGGGCTAGACTTGAAGAGACTGGGAGGGGCAGACTTGAAGAGACTGGGAGGGGCTAGACTTGAAGAGACTGGGAGGGGCTAGACTTGAAGAGACTGGGAGGGGCTAGACTTGAAGAGACTGGGAGGGCTAGACTTGAAGAGACTGGGAGGGGCTAGACTTGAAGAGACTGGGAGGGGCTAGACTTGAAGAGACTGGGAGGGGCTAGACTTGAAGAGAGTGGGAGGGGCTAGACTTGAAGAGAGTGGGAGGGGCTAGACTGAAGAGACTGGGAGGGGCTAGACTTGAAGAGACTGGGAGGGGCTAGACTTGAAGAGACTGGGAGGGGCTAGAATTGAAGAGACTGGGAGGGGCTAGACTTGAAGAGACTGGGAGGGGCTAGACTTGAAGAGACTGGGAGGGGCTAGACTTGAAGAGACTGGGAGGGGCTAGACTTGAAGAGAGTGGGAGGGCTAGGACTTGAAGAGACTGGGAGGGGCTAGACTTGACGAGACTGGGAGGGGCTAGACTAGTGGAGGGGCTAGACTTGAAGAGAGTGGAGGGGCTAGACTTGACGAGACTGGGAGGGGCTAGACTTGAAGAGACTGGGAGGGGCTAGACTTGACGAGACTGGGAGGGGCTAGACTTGACGAGACTGGGAGGGGCTAGACTTGAAGAGACTGGGAGGGGCTAGACTTGACGAGACTGGGAGGGGCTAGACTTGACGAGAGTGGGAGGGGCTAGACTTGACGAGACTGGGAGGGGCTAGACTTGACGAGACTGGGAGGGGCTAGACTTGAAGAGACTGGGAGGGGCTAGACTTGAAGAGACTGGGAGGGGCTAGACTTGAAGAGAGTGGGAGGGGCTAGACTTGAAGAGACTGGGAGGGGCTAGACTTGAAGAGAGTGGGAGGGGCTAGACTGAAGAGAGTGGGAGGGGCTAGACTTGAAGAGAGTGGGAGGGGCTAGACTTGAAGAGAGTGGGAGGGGCTAGACTTGAAGAGAGTGGGAGGGGCTAGACTTGAAGAGAGTGGGAGGGGCTAGACTTGAAGAGACTGGGAGGGGCTAGACTTGAAGAGACTCGGAGGGGCTAGACTTGAAGAGACTGGGAGGGGCTAGACTTGAAGAGAGTGGGAGGGGCTAGACTTGAAGAGACTGGGAGGGGCTAGACTTGAAGAGACTGGGAGGGGCTAGACTTGAAGAGAGTGGGAGGGGCTAGACTTGAAGAGACTGGGAGGGGCTAGACTTGAAGAGACTGGGAGGGGCTAGACTTGAAGAGTCTGGGAGGGGCTAGACTTGAAGAGACTGGGAGGGGCTAGACTTGAAGAGACTGGGAGGGGCTAGACTTGAAGAGTCTGGGAGGGGCTAGACTTGAAGAGACTGGGAGGGGCTAGACTTGACGAGACTGGGAGGGGCTAGACTTGAAGAGACTGGGAGGGGCTAGACTTGAAGAGACTGGGAGGGGCTAGACTTGAAGAGACTGGGAGGGGCTAGACTTGAAGAGACTGGGAGGTGCTAGACTTGAAGAGACTGGGAGGGGCTAGACTTGAAGAGAGTGGGAGGGGCTAGACTTGAAGAGAGTGGGAGGGCTAGACTTGAAGAGACTGGGAGGGGCTAGACTTGAAGAGACTGGGAGGGGCTAGACTTGAAGAGACTGGGAGGGGCTAGACTTGAAGAGACTGGGAAACAAATGATGAGCGAGGGGAACTGGGAGGGGGGGGTGGAGGGGGGTGAAGGGATGGGCGTAGCAGGGGCAGGCAAGGCAATGACAGCCATACATCACTACCATCATACCCAAGCCATGCCACCACCATCATCACACCCATGACATGTCATCATCACCACACCCATGCCATCGTCACACCGCACCCATTCCATCACCACCATACCACATATCCCCACCACCCCACCACCCACGTCAGCAATGTTGCCAGCCCCTCATCCGCCTCGCTGGCGCCCTCCGATTGGAGGAACAGCCGTGTCGCCCGCCCAAGAGCCACAAAGAATCCAAAAACCGCCAGCTCAGCTTTCAAGCTCTCGCCTCCCCCCTCCCCCCCGCCTCCCCACTCCCCCTCCCCCTCCCCCCACTCCTCGAAAATTTTCTCCCGAACCAAAGCTGCCCGCAGCTGCCGCTCCACCAGCTGCACCCAGAAGCGGCGCTCGCCGGGCAGCACGCGAAAGTTCAGGTGCCCGCCCGCGCGCTGCCCGAAGTGCGAGAGGAACTCGGCGCGCAGCCCCGCTCTCACTGCGTGACGGTACACGTCATCGATGTCGGCTGCTCTTAGTAGGTGGTCAAACAGGTGTCGCAACTGCAGGCAGGGGTGAGGGGGAGTGAGTGGGAGGTTGAAGCAAGGGTGACTCAGCGCGCAGCCCCGTCCGCAGTGCATGGCAATATACATCTATGTCGGGTGCTTTAAGTAAGTGGTCAAACAGATGGCGCAGCTGGTGGGTGGGTTGGGCAGAAAGGGGGGCGGGAGTGGGGACAGAGTGGGGGGGGTGGGGATTGGAGTGTGAGGGCAACTCGGCGCGCAGCCCCGCACTCACGGCGTGGCGATACACGTCGTCAATTTCGGCTGCTCTCAACAGATGGTCAAACAGATGATGCAGCTACAGGAGGGGTGGGGGTGGAAGTGGGGGGAGTGGGGGGACTGGGGGGTTGAAGGGAGGCAAGGGCGAGTCAAAGCGGAGCTCTGCCTGACACCGCAACGCGGTGGTAGACGTTCTCAATGTGTGCTGCTCTTTACAGGTGGTCGAATCGAAGAGGTGGCGCAGACGCCCATTAGCCTCCTGCTCATCAGCCCTCCACCCATAGACTCACCTGCCCTCGACTGCCCACCTGCCCCTCCACCCTCCCCCACCCACCTGATCCTCCAGTAGCATGGAATGCGGCGCAGCCAACAACTCGACTCAACCCTCCACCCACAAGCTCACCTGCTCTCACTTGACTCGTCTGCCCCTGCAACCCTCACCAACTCCCTTTGACTTGCTTTAATCCTCTCTCCACCGCCCACCTGATCCTCCAGCAGAACAGAGAGTGCGGCACAGCCAACAGCCTCAGGCGGCGCAAAGAAGCGCACGGCACCGATGACCGCCCTCCCTCTCTCATTCTGTCACTCACCCGCTCCTCTACCCTCCATCCACAAGAGTTGACTCGCCTTAACCCTGACTCCACTACCTACCTGGTCCTCCAGCAGAACTGAGAACGCGGCGCAGCCAACAGCTTCCGGTGGAGCAAAGAAGCGCACAGCCCCGATGATCTCCCTCTCTCCGCTGCTCACCTGCCCCTCCACCCCACCCACCCTCCGATGCTCACCTGCCCCTCCACCCCACCCACCCTCCGATGCTCACTGAAACGCCCACCTGATCCTCCAGCAGCAATCCTCACCTGGTCTTCCAGCAACACTGAGAAGGCGGCGCATCCAACAGCCTCAGGGGGAGCGAAGAAGCGCACGGCACCGATGATCTGGAACAGCAGCAGGAACAGCGCCATGTCACTGTCCGCCAGCCTGGCGGCGCCTGCCACGTGGGCAGCTGCCGATGTGCCACGTGGCGTCAGGGATGCTGACGTGGCGGTGGGTGAGAGAGCGGCATGAGGAGGGTGGGGTAGCCCGTCGTCCAGCCCAGAGGCTTTAGCGGATAGCTGCACGTCCTGGCTGGATGGGGGAAGGGGAGAGAGAGGGAGGGGCGGAGTACGGTGCAGTGAGGTAGAGTGAGTGGGCTGGATGGGGTGAGAACGGGGGGGAAAGAGCGTACAGATCCCCAACCTGACCGTCTCCCGGCAGCAGTGATGGCGTATCGGTGCAGCACGGTGCAGCACGGTGCAGCACGGTGAGCATGGTCAGCAGCGCGTCAAACAAGAACACACTCAAACAAGAAGAGGGCAAAGAGGGCACCTGGTTGGCACCCCGACCCCACCGTCTCACATAGCAGCAGTGATGGCGTATCGGTGCAGCACGGTCAGCATCGTCAGCAGCGCGTCAAACAAGAACACCACCGTCTCACATAGCAGCAGTGATGGCATAGCGATGCAGCAGCGTGAGCATCGTAAGCAGCGCCTCAAACGTCCCCGGATACGCCCTCCCCCAGAACCACCCGTCCATTCCCCCACCATCCGCCTCTCCCCCCCCAGCCTGCTGCTCCCTCCCTTCGCGCTCCTTCTGCTGTGCCAACTCATAGCGCATGAAACTCTCTAGAGGCTCGCATAGACGCGCCAGGCTGAATAGCACCCACGTGGACGCATCACTGCCGCCCGAATCGGCCCCTCTGCCGCCCGCATTGGCCTCTCTGCCGCCCCCCCTGCCGCCCGCCCTGCTCTGCCCCTCTGTCTCCCCGCCCTCCGCTCTGCTCTGCCCTTCCCCCTCCCCCGCCATCTCCCTCACTCTCCCCATCTCCCGGCCCCCCTCCCCCTCCTCCTCCTCCGCCTCCCACTCCTCCTCCCCGTCCTCGCTACAGCCGCCGCTGCTGTAGCTGCTGCTGCAGCTGCTGCTGCTCCTGCGGCGGGTGAGGTGTGTTGTAGCAGGAACGGTCCCGGAAGCGGTCCCAGGTGCTGTAGCATGAGTGTCTGACGCTCTACCGGTTTCTGTAGCAGCTGTAGCGGCTGTATCAGCTGTAGCAGGGGGAGCAGTGGTGACGGTGCGAGTGATGAGCTCCATAGACGCTTTCAGCAGCGCCACCACTGCTGCCTGAAATAGAAGTAGGGGTGGGAGCATGGGCACATGGGCAAAGGCAGTAGGGTTTGCCTGGTCTGGTCAGCTGCAGTGGCGACAGTGCGAGTGATGAGCTCCATGGCCGCTTTCAGCAGCGCCACCACTTCCGCCTGTAAGCATGGGGAATGGCAGGAGGAGAGGGGATTATGGCACGAGGTTTAGCCTCAGCAGTGAGTGTGGGCCGTGCGAGTGATGTGATGAGTCCCATAGCCGCTTTCAGCAGTGCCGCAGTGCCAACTACAAGCAACAGCACCTGCTGCACAACAACCCCTCGCCTGTACCCTTGCCTTCCCCCATTCACTTGCTTTTTTAAGCTTCTCGGAAACAGGAACTAACCCTATTCCCCATGCCCTTCACCCATGCCCTTCCAACTCCCCTTCACCGCACTGCACACCTGGCTTCCCATGCGCTTCACCCATTCGTCCGCCTCTCCGCCGCCCGCCCCCGCGAGCGCGAGCCAGCTGCCCACGCGGAAGAAATCCCCCGCCGCCCCGCCCCTGCTGCGGAACTCCCGCACCTCCTCCTGCACCTTCCGCGACGCCTCCGCCAAAGCTTCCGCCAAGTCCCGCCACGACGACTTTCTCCGCCCGGGGGGACCGCTAGCTCCGCCGATTCCGCCGCTTCCGCCAATTGCGCCAGTAAGTCCGCCTAATCCGAGCCCCAGCAGCGCGGATCCCCCCGCGACTTGCTGCGAAGCTAGCTCCTCCTCCTCGAATTCCTTCCGCCAATCCCACGGTTCACCCATCTTCACCGCACCCAACTCCTGCTCAGATTCCTCCGCTTCCCCTTCCGCCAGATCCCGCGCGAAAGCGGATAAGCGGATACGCGCGGTCAGCGCAGTCAGCGCGTTCCACCAGCGGGGTTGCTGCCAGCGCAAATCCGCGGCGTCGCGGCGGAGGAATCCGCGCGGAGCGGACCAGGCGGAGGCGGAAAGCGCGGACGGCGCGGACTCGTGGCGGTGGAGCTGACCAGGAAGCGGCGGAACAACGTCCGCGGGAGACGCGCGGTCGCGGGGAGAGGGGAAACAATCTGAGGCTGCTCCTGACGGCTCGCGCGGCTCCGCGGAGACGGAGGGATTGCAGGTGCGCGGAGGGCGGTGGGGAAGCTCAAGACCGACTTCCCCAGTCGCACCGACAATGGGCTGAGCAAGGTAAGACATGTGCAGCCTGCACCAGAGCTCTATGAGGACGACATATATTGTCTGTAGGGAAAAGAAGAAAGAAAGAAGAAGAAAAGGTCAAGGAGTGAAAAGAAGTAGTAGGGAAAAGAAGAGAGTGGTGGGAAGAGAAGAGAAAAGATAGATGAAGGGAAGAGAAAGAGGGAGGTGGGAAGAGGAGAGGAGAGAGGGAAAGAGACTAAGGAGGAGGAAGCACCAAGGGACCAGACACGGCAGCAACCCGCACAACAAACGCGGGCACAGCGTTTCAAGCACAGCCACTAAACTCTCTACACATATGCATCATACATATATTGCATATCGGCAACACTCTCGAAGCACCCTGTGATATGGTTCCAGGTACCCTGCCCCGCACCCAGTGGGACGGGTGCGGGCATCCATCCGTCGTCGGATCCCCCCAACTGCCGCACCGCATGCTGTAAGATGCATCGAGCCTGCGCGCGCTGCAGTGCCACGGAGAGACGTGTAGTGAGTCCTGTCTCAAATATCCGTGCTGATCCGTCATCCCCTCCTCCCCAATCCCTCCTCCGCTGTGCTATCCTCTTCGCGCAGAGCCCCAGGAACTGACGCAACGGCTCGCTCAGTAGGCCAAAGGTCTCAGCCACGCACGCGTAAAAGTGTGGTGCCGGCTGCAACCCCTCTAAGTGCGGCCCCCAGTGACGCAGCTTCTCCTGCACCCGCCTAGCTGCTGCCACTCCAATCTGTGTGGGGGTCGCCCGTCCCAGCTGCACGTTCCCCTCCCGCTGTGGATCCGCTATGGAGACATCCACAAGAACCATCAAAGTCTGCCCAACGTCGCGGCAGGTGAGGTCTGGGATGCGGGAGGAGGTGCCTGTACGGCCTGTGCGTCCGGCTGGTCCCTGCTGCTGCGCTGGCTGCTGCCCTGTCTGGTCCCTCGGTGCCTCCTCTCCTGTCGTCTCTCTCCCCCTATCCTCTCCTCCACCCACCTGTCCTCTCCCCTCCCCCTCTCTACCCTCCCCCAAACCTCCCAACCTCCCTGCTCGAGATAGATACCGGGGGAAGGTGGATTCGCGCTATTTATTACGAATTTAATATTTCTTCTTTCCATTGACGCATCGGTCCCATGATCTAGTGGTTATGATGTCAGACTCTGAATCTGAATGGCCGAATTCAATTCTCGGTGGGACCTTTTGGCTCTGTCACCAGATTCGACTTTTGTGGTTGAAGGGTCCCACACGTGTCCGCGCCTCAATGGCTTATACACCACCTGTCAGCGGCTCGACTCTGAAGGACTTGCTTGACGACACCATCGACGGTTTCGACCCTTGCCATCCCACCAAACCAACGCGGCTTGGAAATCCCCTTGTACAGTACTTCACTATTACACATGGAAATTTCGCTCATCGCTCAGCGATCCCCGAATAATCGCACTTGCCATTTGGGCCACATGCGACCCTGGCGACAGTGTCGTATGGGGTTGCGCGATGCAGCTGTGCTCCGCCCGCATGCCGCTCCTTCGCCAAACTTGGCCGTCGCACCCCGACATCCCCAGCTTCGGGATCGCCTCGCCAGTAATCTCCTGTTTACTACGACACTTTCGTACCAGCCCAGAATGCAGCGTAAGGGCGACGTCAGGTTGCACAACTTCTGTACGCTCACTGCGGTTGACTTCGATTCGTCACGGTGCAAAACGGTAAACTTTCAAAACCGCTTCTCACCGTGTGGAACCGTCCTGAGCCACGATACCAGAACTGTAAATGTGTGGGAAATGTGCAACCCGACGTCGCCCTTAAAGCTGCAGTATACAATTGAAAGGTTGGGTTCAAAAACTTTTGAAATTTGAAAAGTTGCCCCAAAGCTGTGAGGCACACAATAAAAACCCTAAACCCGGCTGACAAATGTATACTGCAGCTTTAAGGGGTTCAACTCTGGCCACAATTCCCGAATGACAAAATGAGCCACCAGCTATGGTCCTTATTTTGACTTCTGTAGCCACAGGACCAAGGTCGCACTAAGTAGTGAAATTTCCCTAGAAGTTACTTCTCGCAATACGGTTCTTTTCTTCTTAAAGCCGCGGTGCAACTATCTTAGGAACAGTGACAAGCCGGGTTTTGTCTTGTTCCGTACTGGTAGTCAATTGGCTAGCGAGTGTGTAAGTTGTGTTGCGATGAAAACATCCAAGGCGAATGTCGCGAACCTCGAAAGGAAAAGTGGGGGGGAAGGGGTGGGGGGAAGGGAAGGGGGGAACACACACGAAACGGGAAATGGGACCACATCAACACCCCCATACTCCCTTTCGCTGATTGTTCTGCCAATAACACCTCCACATTGCAAAACGATAAACCTTATGTTTCATAAAAACTTTGCAAAATACATATTTCACTTACAAGGTTTATTTTGGTTTATTTATCCATCCATTTGCAAGAGTATTATTTCTAATGGGGAGAAAGAACATCAACTGTACAGACCTGCAAGACTTGGAATGTCATATTGAAATCCTTATCATGCAAAGGATCGCAAGCAAACAACATGGCATAATCCAAGGAGAGCCGATTTTTACACTCCGATCCACTATTGGTGCAGCTGTCCATTTACAGGGAGGAGGGGGGAGGGGAAAAGGGGAAGGAAACGTTGCGCATTATTGAAGAATGTTAGGTAGGGAAATTGAAGAGAGCATGGAAACTGAGATATGATAGACAGCCTTCAGTGGCCAAGCAAAGCTGGTACTGTTGGCTGAATTGAACGAGAGAACGTAGTGGAAAGGGAAGGGACGGTAGTGGGGGAAGGCGAGGGGCAGGGGAGGGGGGAAAGGGATGGCTGAGAGAAGCGTGAATGGTGGGAGAGGACAGTAGGAAAGGGAAGGGATGTGAGAGAGGGGGAGGAAAGGTGGGAGGGAAGGACAGGGGGAAAGGGAGAGAAGGACAGGGGGAAAGGGAGAGAAGGACAGGGGGAAATGGAGAGGAGGACTGGGGGAAAGGGAGAGGAGGACAGGGGGAAAGGGAGAGGATGACAGGGGGAAATGGAGAGGAGGACAGGGGGAAATGGAGAGGAGGACAGGGGAAATGGAGAGGAGGACAGGGGGAAAGGGAGAGGAGGACAGGGGGAAAGGGAGAGGAGGACAGGGGGAAAGGGAGAGGAGGATAGGGGGAAAGGGAGAGGAGGACAAGGGGAAAGGGAGAGGAGGACAGGGGGAAAGGGAGAGGAGGACGAGAGGAGGACAGGGGGAAAGGGAGAGGAGGACAGGGGGAAAGGGAGAGGAAAACAGGGAGGGCACTGCCCAAGAGAAGTTGACGCTGAGGACCGGGCAAGGGATCGGAAAGGGGGAGGCATTGGAGAGGAATAAATATGGAGGGGGACGCGAGATGCTTCGCCACCGTCGCACAGATGCTTCGCCCCGCTGCTCGCTATCGTCGCCCTGGTGCTTGCTATCGTCGCCCTGATGCTCGCTATCGTCGCCCTGGAGCTCGCTATCGTCGCCCTGGTGCTCGCTATCGTCGCCCTGCTGCTCGCTATCGTCACCCCGCTGCTCATATCGTCGCCCCGCTGCTCGCTATCGTCGCCGCACCGCTCGCTATCGTCGCCCCGCTGCTCGCCACCGTCGCACCCATTCCTGCCTGTCGCTACCGTTGCGCCTTTGCTACCGCAGATACGTGAGGAATGGAGGGGCGGGAGAGGAATAAGGACGGCAACGGAGGAAAACGAGCGCAATGCGCTTCGAATACGACAAAAAGGTGTTTACGAGGTAGGAAATTGCGCAGATATTCGTGAGCACATCAATAGACCATGAAACGCGAGAAATCTTAGCGGAAATGGCTCTGCGTAGCTCGGAAAACGCACTTCAAGTTAGTAAGAACCTAGTTCAAGCGTGAGAGTTTGCCGAGTTTGAGTTGTTTTGAGTTCAAGTTTGAATTTTCAAGTTTGCTGCATGCGCTCCCCCTCAACTCGTTGAGCGGAGCTTTTCCCCGAGCCCTCCCCCGTTTCCCCCCCACACACATCATACTGCGAAGGACTTTTCCGCACGCCCTTCCCCCGCTGGCAGAAACCTCTCCCTGCTCGCTTTCCTGTGTATACTGGGTTACGCGGCTTTCAAACTATAATAGTTTGAACTGGAGCCCGGATATCTGCACCGCGGCTTTAAAAATGACATTTTTTCATTCATCATCCGGTGTTCTGGGAATCATCGCACTTGGTGGCGGCGACAACGGTGGGCGACGGTGGCGACCGTATCGCATGGGGTTGCGCGACGCAGCTGTGCTCCGCCCGCGTGCCGCTCTTTCCCCGTCCGCGCGACCCTCCGCGGGCCCCGCTACCGCAAGTCATACCAGCGAATCCCCTCTCGCCGCGGGACCGGCTCCATCCCCGTACCGCTCACTCCTAACACTCGCGACGCACCGATTCGTCGCGCTCTTCTTTCTCCTCGCGGTCGTCGCGGCGTTCGTCGCGGCGGGGCTCCTCGCCTCGTACGCGCGCAGCCCGGCGCAGCTGCCGGGGGCGCGCATCCCGGCGCAGCAGCCAAAGGCGCGCAGCTCGGCGCAGCTGCCGGGGGCGCGCATCCCGGCGCAGCAGCCAAAGGCGCGCAGCTCGGCGCAGCAGCCCGGGGGGCTCCTCGCGGCGGGGCTCCTCGCCTCGCGCCGCGCGCAGCCCGGCGCAGCTGCCGGAGGCGCAGAGGGCGGAAACGGCAGGCGGAGAGAAAAAATCCGAAAACGTCGTGGGAAATCGGAATTCCGAAAATCGGACATTGGAAATCCGGAAACCGGAAATCCGGAAATCGGAAATCCGGAAATCGGACAAAGAGGCGTGGGAGCAGCAGCGGCGCGTGTATCGCGACGAGGTAACGCGCGCCGTGGCGCGCGGGGAGCGATACTACCTGCTATCCTCCGCCACTGACCGTTGCGTGGGGCAGTCGCACTGGTCGTGGTCGCTGCGCTGTGCGGCGGCGGAGGCAAAGGCGCTTCGGCGCGCGCTGGTGTTGGTGACTGACCGTTGCTTGCACCAGGTGCACTCGCGGACGGGGAGGGACGAGCATGGGCACGTGGGGCTGTATTACAACGTCACCACCATGATGAGGTGTGGTGCGGTGGGGTTGGGTGTGGTACTGTGTGGCTTAAAGGTATGTTCTGTGGGGTAATACCAACAGGGGCGAGCGTGGGCACGTGGGCTGTATTGCAACGTCACCAGCATGATGAGGTGAGGGAGGGGACGAGGGAAGGGAGTGTGCAGCTGCAGCTCGGTTTGGTGTGGTGTGGCGTGGTTTGTTGCGGTGCAGAACGGTGTGTGTTAGGCGCCTCGAGTGGCGCTGAAAGGCGCGCTGGTGTTAGTGACTGACCGTTGCTTGTACCAGGCGCACACGCGGACGGGGCAGGACGAGCATGGACACGTGGGGCTGTACTATAATCTCACGACTATGATGAGGTGCGGTGCGGTGGGGTGTGGTAATGTGTGGCCGGGAGGGCGTGTGCTTCGGGTAAGGGACGAGCATGGACACGTGGGGCTGTATTACAACCTCACAACTATGATGAGGTGCGGGGGGGAGAGGAGAGGGAATGGTGTTGTGCGGTGCAGTGCGGTATGGTGTGCTGTGGTGTGCTGTGCTGTGCTGTGCTGTGCTGCGGTGTGCTGCGGTGTGCTGCGGTGTGGTGTGTTAGGTGCTGAAACACACGCCATTGCTTTCATCAAGCGCACTCAGGAGCGGGGGGGATGATGAGCATGGGCACGTGTGGCTGTTCTATAACCTCACCAGCAGTGGGGTGGGGTTGGGTGCGGTGGGGTGCGGTGGGGTACTGCGTGGCTGAGAGGGCGTGTGCTCTGGGTATTGCAGGAAGGACGAGCATGGGCACGTGGGGCTGTGTTACAATTTCACCACCATGATGCGGTGCGGTGCAGTGAGGTGGGGTGGGGTGGGATGCGGTGTGGGGTGTCATGTCGTACTCATGCAGTGTTTCATGCTGCTCTTTGGGGCGCGGGAGTGGGACGTCATGCCCATGCCCATGCCCATGCCTATGCCTATGCCCATGCCCATGCCCATGCCCATGCCCTTGCCCATGCCCATGCCTATGCCTATGCCCATGCCCATGCCCATGCCCATGACCTTTTCCCGCTTCTGTTTTCCCCTCGATTCCCCCACCCCTCTTCATCCCCCCCCTGCCAGCAGCCAGTTGTCCTCATGGAGTGGGAGTGGGAGTCGGACGTCATGCCCATGCGCAAGCTCCCCCTTCTGTATCCCCCCGGTTTCCGCCCTCCCCCTTTCATTCCCCCGCAGCCAGCAACCGATAATCCTGATGGTGCATTTTCAGGCTCTATTCGGCTCGTGGGAGTGGGTGGGACGTCATGCCCAACCCCCTTTCATCACCCCCCACCCAGCAGCCAATGGTCCGCATGGAGCATTCTCAGGCTCGCTTTGCCTCGTGGGAGCGGGATGTCGCTCGTGGGAGTGGAACGTCATGACCATGGGCAAGTTCCTCATTCCCCTCTCTGCGTCCTCCTCTCCCCTTTCGCCCCCCCCCCCAGGCAGCAGCCAATAAGTCCTGATGGATCATTTCTTGGCTCGATTCGGCTCGTGGGACGTCATGCCCACCCCATGCCTTTTCCCTCTTCCGTTTCCCCCCGCCCCAGCCGGCAGCCAATAATTTTCCTGGAGCATTTTCAGGCTCGCTTCGGTTCGTGGGAGTGGGACGTCATACCCATGCGCAAGTCCCCCATCGGGCCACGCACGGAGAAGCTAGCTGTGTGGAGGAACGTGTTTCTGGTGGTGCGTGCACCGGAGGAGGGGCAGTACGGGTTCATGCTGTGCGATAAGGAGCACATGCAGGTGCGTGGAAGGGCGTCGTGTGTATGATATGATCGCAAGTTCCCCATAGGGCCGCGCACAGGGGAGCTGGCGATTTGGAGGAACGTGCTTCTGGTGGTGCGTGCACCGGAGGAGGGGCAGTATGGGTTCATGCTGTGTGATAAGGAGCACAAGCAGGTGAATGGAGGGGCGTGGGAGAGTGGGATGAGTGGAATGTGGGAGAGAGGGACAGTACGCAGTCATGCTGTGCGATAAGGAGCACAAGCAGGTGAATGGAGGGGCGTGGGAGAGTGGGATGAGTGGAATGTGGGAGAGAGGGACAGTACGCAGTCATGCTGTGCGATAAGGAGCACAAGCAGGTGAATGGAGGGGCGTGGGAGAGTGGGATGAGTGGAATGTGGGAGAGAGGGACAGTACGCAGTCATGCTGTGCGATAAGGAGCCCAAGCAGGTGAGTAGGAGGTGGGGTGGGAGAATAGAATGAGACTTGTCAAACGAGAGGAACGTGTTTCTGGTGGTGCGCGCTCCGCAGGAGGGGCAGTACGGGTATGGGTTCACCCAACGATGCGTTCACCCATCTCGCTCACGCCATGGGCGGCCCTCACCGCTTTGACTACGTGCACGTGCCCATGCATTCATGCATGCACATATGTGCATGTGTGATGCAGTAACAAGCTGTCTGCACTCTCACGTTACCATACATCCCCGCACCTGTGTGCTATCCATGCACATGTCTCCATCTCCATCTCCATCCCCATCCCCATCCCCATCCCCATCCCCATCCCCATCCCCATTCCCATCTCCATCCCCATCCCCATCCCCATCCCCATCCCCATCCCCATCCCCATTCCCATCTCCATCCCCATCCCTATCCCCATCCCCATCCCCATTCCCATCCCCATCCCCATCCCCATCCCCATCCCCATCCCCATCCCCATTCCCATCTCCATCCCCATCCCCATCCCCATCCCCATCCCCATCCCCATCCCCATCCCCATCCCATTCCCCAGAACCAGGACAACATCACCTTCGTCCCCAACGATGCCTTCACCCGCCTCAGTGCGAATCCCACACATACCCTCCCCTGTACACATGTGTCCACCCATACCCCTGTCCCCATCCCCATCCCCATCCCCATCCCCATCCCCATCCCCATCCCATCCCCATCCCCATCCCCATCCCCATCCCCATCCCCATCCCCATCCCATCCCCATCCCCATCCCCATCCCATCCCCATCCCATCCCCATCCCATCCCCATCCCCATCCCCATCCCCATCCCCATCCCAGAACCAGGACAACATCACCTTCGTCCCCAACGATGCCTTCACCCGCCTCAGTGCGAATCCCACACATACCCTCCCCTGTATACATGTGTCCACCCATACCCCTGTCCCCATCCCCATCCCCATCCCCATCCCCATCCCCATCCCCATCCCCATCCCCATCCCCATCCCATCCCCATCCCCATCCCCATCCCCATCCCCATCCCCATCCCCATCCCATCCCCATCCCCATCCCCATCCCCATCCCATCCCCATCCCAT